ACGAAGTGGTTGACATCAGCGCAACCCCACCCAAAAAAAGGGCTAAGAAGCTACATTTAAGTGCAAATGAAAAACAAATAATATTAAATATATACAAAAACCAAATTCAAGAAAAACCCGATTTGGTCGTGGACGAAGTTATATGTAAGGTAGCACATATTTCTGGAGTATGTCGGTCCAGTGTTTATAGGATCATTAAGGAATATAGGAGCACTCACTCACTTTCTGGGCCAAAACCGTATCCTGCAAGAAAAAGGATAACGGACGGAGTAGATGACTTTGACAGAACTGCCATCAGGAGGAAAGTGCATAATTTTTTCTTCCGAAATGAGATACCTACAGTAGATAAGATATTAAGATTAGTTAATGCTGATGAGGATCTTCCATCATTTAAAAGAACCACATTCCGAAAACTTTTGAAGGAACTTAATTTTCGATTCTTGAAACGGGGAAGAAACAGTATGTTAATAGAGAAAGAAGAAATTGTTGTGTGGAGAAGGGAATAAATACCTTAGGAAGATTCGGAAGTTTCGCGATGAAAAAAGAAAAATTTACTATTTGGACGAAACGTGGGTGAATGCTGGACATACTCAAGCGAAAGTTTGGGTCGACAAATCAGTAACATCATCAAGGCAGGCTTTTCTAGACGGTCTTTCGGCTGGATTGAAAAATCCTGCAGGTAAGCTCCTTCATCTATCCGGCAATTTAATTTTGATAAATTCGGGCAAATAATATGCTGTGATAGCAGATAATGTGTGATATTCTCCAAAAATGGTGCATTCGCAGTGTAGTCATTAGGAAAAAAACTTCGACCCTCTTTTAAGCGTTATTTTGAAATTTATTATCATTTTTGGGTGCAGTCAATTTGCTTTGAATGGGTTTTGAGAAGTTGCAAACTTCAATTTTCTACGTTTTTCAGTTTTTGATCAGCATTCCGTGACTCTTAAATTCAGCTAAATGAACTCAATTGCCTCATTCCTTCAAATTTAATCAATCCATAGTGTAAGGAATAATTTATTTCCAGGAAAAGGCAAACGGCTGATCATTTGTCACGTAGGTAGTGAAGACGGCTTTGGTCCCGAAGCACTGTGGGCCTTTGAATCAAAAAAGACAGAGGACTATCATGAGGAGATGGACGGCAATTCCTTTGAAAATTGGTTCTCCAAAATGTTACTAAAGCTGGAGAATAACGCTGTTATTGTACTGGATAATGCCCCGTACCATTCTAGAAAAATAGAAAAAATTCCCACAATGGCAACTAAAAAAGCAAACATACAACAATGGCTGGCCTCAAAACAGATCGATTTTGATGAAACAATGGTCAAGGGTGAATTGATAAGTATAGTCAATAGACATAAATACAAATACGATTTTAAAATGATCGACGAAATGGCCAAAAAACAAAATAAAACTGTCTTGAGACTGCCACCCTACCATTGTGAGCTGAACCCTATTGAGCTGATTTGGGCCAACATAAAGCAATACGTGGCGTCGAATAATAATACTTATAAATTTTCTGATGTTAAAAATCTCTTTCACATCGCAGTCAATAGAGTTACGGCAGAGGAATGGAAAAACTGTATCCGCCACGTTCGGGAGAAGGTTGAGGTCAAAATGTGGGATTTGGACAATGTCATCGATACCCAAATTGAACCTCTAATAATTCATTTAAACGATTCAGAAGATTCAAGTTCCTCTTCTGAATGAGTGCGCGCAGCTTACTTACTAATAACTAAAAAGTGTAGTTAACTCATTTGTGAATCTCTAACTGAAATTTACTGCAAAAGATAATAATTATCTTGTATGAAATTTTTGATGACTACCCATAATATCTTGATGCGGTCCTGTAATGTCTCCTGCGCCTAAACACTCACTCACGAGCAATATGCGTGTATTTGTTTGGGTTTAGTTTCTTTCTTCAGCGCCTAGAGTATAAATCCAAAATTTAGTCACCGAATTGTGTGGGAAACGTCTGCCTACATGACGCCATTTTCGTAATGTCTTTATACTTCAAGGTTAAACGTGGCAGTACGCAATTTTCTGCTTCGCACAAATCAAATAAACTTTGCCGACTCAGGACAACGTCGCAACGTCACTACGACATCGTGTTGCAAAAGTATTGATGTGCCAATAGCTACCTGTTATAGCATGTACGATTGTCGATTACGACCATTAGCGAGTGAAAATTGAAGACGTTTAACCGCGGTTCAAGGACAAGTTGAACGGCTGACATGAAATAAATAATCTTTTGAATATGTAATTGGTTTGGCGAGCACAAATAACAACCTTAGAGACATGGGACATCCAAGATGAACAACGAAAATTTTAACAAGCGACTATATTCCTTCGCTCAGAAACTTCGACTGCAAAACTTATTATGATATATGATAAATATGAAAACCACAGTATAAGTTTCCGTAGCTAGTTTATTAAAAATTGTTCCCAACTACTTAGGTCTTTTTTCAAAGTGAGCAGTTAACGCATTCAACAATGCCGTTTTGGATCTGGCAGCAAACGAGTGGAATAAGTGCTTCGAAAACTGGTTCGAACGCATGCAGATGTGTATTAATCTTCGTGGAGAATACTTCGAAAAACAATAAAGTCATTTAAAACTACCTACCATGTTGTTTTAATGTAAGATGACGCACCCGAGGCCAGGGACTCACGGTGCGCCCTGAATACGAATTATACCCTGATTAGACAAAATTTGATGCTCAAGTACAAAACATCCTTGTTTCTCTTCAATGATCACCAACAAGAAGCGCGTACGTGGTTCGCGCTACTGATTGATTCCACCGCTGTAACACCTCTTGGAAAAATAGATTCTAAAACCTAAACTATTTGACAAATAAAAGTACTTCGGTTCTGAAAGTTTAACCCTGACTGCTTACAGGTCTTGTACAATCTCTGCATGAAGCGCTAGCATCGCACTCCAGTAACAAAAATTGTTTTAACGAAGGTTAACAGATCTAGACAATGTTAGACTATTTATTGATTTTATTTTCTGTATACTAGCCCGCTCCGAAAAGTCGTGCGAAATTTAATACATCTGAAGCTAATGGATACTCAACTGCTCACCGAAAATAAAATGACTTTTGCGATTTTCAATGAGGGTTTCGGTGAAACATCGTTTTTACTATTTAAAGTCTCATTTATTACTCTAACATCAATTTATTACAAATTTATGATCTTGTCGACTGGTGTATGGTGATCCGCGCTGTTGGCTCATCGGTCGGTTCTGCCTGCCTCTGCCCTCTGTGCGTGTATTTATCTTTGAATCGACGAACCCAGAAGCGTTCTAGACACAACTCGAGTCGATGTTGCACTAAAAAAAGTTCAACTTGCCAACACGAATAATATGTACCCAGAATTGAACATTATTAAATTCGGTAAGTTGTTGAAATTAGAACAATGTAAATTAATTTTTAAAATTTCAAATAACCAACAAAAGTAAACTTCGCCCTTCAACAAAAGACGTTTATTATTATTAAATTCTGATGTATATGACAATGATTCGAGTTCACATAATAATTTGCACCGGATTTCCACCAGCACTAAGAATTAAACATCATGTCACTGAAGAGATAAAAAAAAATATAATAATATACAACATTGTGTGAAGAATATACATTTATTTTGTAAAAAATAAGTCGGTTGAATGGTTGATTTATTATTGTTATAAATTAATAATAATATTCGCACATTGTAACATTATGTTAGTTGTTCTCCATTCCACTGTTAGAGAACGTTGTTAACTACAAAATTTGTAGAAACTGATTGTCGAATGAACATTGTTTTCCAAGGGGAAAGAATGTACATCTTCCATCAAAAGCTAATTACAGATTCTCGTTAGCCATCAGACTATACAAAATCTCCGTCACTTTGACCTGGTCCTCGTCTCTTTGACAGTTTTTTCCGAGGCAATTTACATCCTCTTAATACCAAGTGTCTCTCCTTTGTGTTCGTCCCGTGGCGCTTTGATCAATTTTCTGAGAGATGCAGAAAGGACACATACGAGATTTCGTAGACGGTAAATCTTTTTAAATTACTTTGATACCAAAATTGCTAGCGTAAATTCATGAAGATTCCCTGTTGCAGAATAACTCCTGACAGCAAATATTTAGACTAGACTGGTATTTGTTGCATGCGATTTACAAATCAAAATTAGTAATTTCCTCAGTATAACCGTGCAGAATTGAACGAAAGTCTACACTTTAACTTATACTGTAGAGGGATCGGAAAATTAAAAAAATTAGTGTGTCCGATTGGTTGAAAATGGAATTATACGTGATGTTTCAGTGTGTCTTAAGGCTTTTTTGTCTTTACGCGGAATTACAGTTCGTCGCGTTCGGTACATAAGATAATCATTAACATAAGCAATAAGTCAATATTTTTAGTGAGAAGGATGAACCTGATGCTTTAATAATAAATTATCAACATTTGGCGTCAATTTTGTAAGGGTTAATCTTAAATCTCCTCGGCTAATGATGTCCAGTCTGTTTCTTTTTTTCGTTAGGAGATTGGTAACAGCGCTGAACCCCCTTTCCACTAGGTATGACGATGGAAAGGAAATTAAAAATGTCCTCGCTATATTCCATAATACGGGATAAGTAACGGGTATGTTGTTTTGCAGCCAGAATTGCTGATATCCTGAACTGAACCTTAAGTTCTTCGTTTGTACTTAGTTCAGTCAGTTCCTCTTGTATTATGACATTCGTTTCTTCTATGTCACCAAATGGATTAATTATCCACGGTGATATTACCATAGTCAAAATATCCTCAAACCTAGATTCAAAATCTGAATAGAGGGCATTTAAATGTTGAACGTAAGTTGAAACGTCGTCCTCCTGGCAGCTTGTCTGTGACAAATTGGGGAACTGAGAAAATTCGCCCCGTCCAATATTTTGCTTCATTAGTTTAACTCTGGCAAGAAACGCTGATAAGATGGACTTTTTTTAATCAAATTTAAACTGTCGCCTTGTAATTGCAAATTAACCATATTAAATTTTGTAAACAAATCTGTCTGTTTTCCTCTTCATTAAATTTTCTTTTAAAATTTTAGTTTTAGTATCCAGAAATTCTAAAATAGTCTCAAAAAGTGCAAAAAATCTTGTCAAACATAAGCCTTTCGACAGCCAACGTACTTCAGTGTGAAGGAGTAATTGATGAAAGTGTTCGTCATTTTCTTCACACAACTGCGCAAATAACCGCGTATCCAACGCGTTGCTTCGGATTCGGTTTACTGCATCAATGACTAAATGAAGTGATTCATGCAATCTAACACTCAAATTTTTAGCAACTAAATGTTGTCGATGGATGACGCAATGTATTGCTAACACCCCTGACACATTTTGTTTTAAATAGCTTATAAATCCACGATAACGTCCAACCATGGCAGGTGCTCCGTCTGTAGCTACTGATATTAAATTTGATAAAGGAATTGCTTTTTCAATGAAGTAATCCTTCAAAACATGAAATATTGATTCACCTTTAGTGTCGGTTATCAAAGTTCTTGCGAAGAGCAGTTCTTCGTAGATTACTTGATTCATAATAAAACGAACATATGCCAATAATAATGCTGCATTATCAGGTAAACTTGACTCGTCCAGTTGTATAGAGAAATAGGTCGTTTGCAAATAATTACATAAGAAGCTTTCAATATCAGAACTCATTTCATCAATACGTCTTTCAACAGTATTGTTGCTTAAGGGAATTCTTTTAATGATATCAGATGCAGGTTTGTGTAAAACAGTTTTTAAAACCTCTTCAACGGCTGGCAAAATTAACTTCTCTCCGATAGTATGCGGTTTTCCGGATTTTGCTATAAGTAACGAAATATTGTAAGACGCCCGCAAACTATCATCATTTCTTTGTGACGTCGAAGCGAACATTCTGTCCAGTGTAGGTCTCTTCTGAAATTTATCTTGAAAGTATTTCAAATCTTTCTCTGTTTTATCAGGGTGGCATCTTCTCAGATGATCTTGCAGTTTAGATGGTTTCATAGCGTCATTGCCCAAAACTTTGTTGCATAAAAGGCACATAGGCGATTGTTTGTCCGGCAATGATGGAATGAAGCCAAATTTCAAATAATCAACACTGTAACTGTTTACATTTCTTTTTAGATTCGAACATGGCATCAGTCATCTGTGGGCAAAATTAAATTATTTAAGTAAAACAGAAAATCCAGCAGCTGTATATTAAAAATATTTTTTGATTTTTCCGAAAACATTCCATAATTCGACATCTTGCAACAATTAGCTCGAATTACGGAGATTGCACTGTAATTATATTACCGATTGCTAAAACTTTCAAAAAGAAACTATTGAGTACTCGTGTAATTTTGCACGATTGAATATTTAACTACTAATAACTAAAGTCATGATTGGCGTAATTTATCTATCTTTGCTAACTACGAGTACAAAACTAAAATTTAATAAAAAATAATGTACTTACTTTTCTCCAGCACTCTCAAACAAAATAACACTGACTCACTATAATTTGTGTGATATACGTTACTATCTGTTTATATTTTTTGAAATATTTTCTCAGCACTTTCCTTTTCAAGATTCAGGAAACGAATAAACGTATTTGTCCCACATTCGTATTTATGGAGTGACGAATTGAACAAGTCAGTGCAAGGTAGCGAATCTCTAAGACTGCGACTCTCAGGTTTTTACAAGTTGAAAATGTATTGCGACCACAAAGCGAATACCAACATCCTACGACTTACACAATTTTATAAACATATATAATAAATTTTTTACTTCATAGGTACTTTTATAAATAATGTATATGTTTTGATATTATAAGATAGTATGATGTAAGTAAATAGGTACTATCAGTGTATGTGTTGTTGAGATCCACTATCGTGGATCCCCATATTCATTTCATGGATCCCCAATTTTTTTTTTCGCTGACGTAGACCCCTTGCAGGTTGTCATAGACCCTAGGGGTCGATATAGACCACTTTGGGAATCAATGGTTTAGGCTCAACCCACCCTCGTTTCCTTTTTACCCCCCTGTTACCTCAGCAGATGGTGCTCGTGATTGTAGGAGCCCCGTTAATTGCCGATTTTCTCAAGATCAGTCCGGATGGACTATTGTCGTTATTCCCCGGTACCCTTCAAATGTAGTGTGAATATTCGGCAGACAAGTTCTATAGATAAGAACATCACTTGGAAATGGCATTACAGTTATAAGATCACATATTTCTCCAACATTTCTCTATTTCCACTGTGCTGAATGCAATTGCTTCGTTTGATCGACAATTCCGGACAATTCCTTATCGCTTTCGTCCTTTTCTGTTTTATATCGTGTCGAACACGCGCTCGCGTGATATAAAAGAGTTGTCTGGCATCGCGACTCCCTTTGAAACCGTTCCAGAGCGTCGCTCGCTAGCGAATGTACGGGAGAGTTGCTGCTGATCGGGAAACAATCGCCGCCGATATCGGCGAGAGTCGTCTAGATTTCTTCCAGGCGGAAATCTGAGCAAACGGCTAGTTGAAAAATGCTGCGAGAAGGCTTCGAAGCTAATTCGGTCTTTGTGAATAGTTTTAGTTTCCGGGAAAGTTGTACAGTTAGCACGGACCGGAACAGGTCAGGACGAAAACAACACTGGACAACAAATTTTAGTTTTTTAATTGTATCTTGTGGGACAAGTGCACATCTTTGTTAATTTTGAGGCGCTGAATCCAAAAATGACAATGAAATAAAAAGATTAGTTGCGGTTTAGAAAAAAAACTTTTTATTTTTAAGGATATATTAAAAAAAATAACAAGATTCATATACTTATAAGAATCACTATATGCGCTGTCTTTTTGCTGTTCTTTTATGGATCGTTTCTGGAGCATCTCTACCAAGAGTCCAACAGTAGTCTGCAAGCATGGAAGGATTTCACTTTCCCTGGTACCTTTTTCCATTGTTGAAATATCCTGATGAAAACGTTCGCCGTGCTCATCACTTACGGCTCCGCAATTGTCAGGAACAAAGTCCTGGTGTGAGTGTAGGAAATGTATCTTAAGAGACATATTACAGCCCATCTTTTGATACGATGACAGCATATTTTTGACAAGGATTTTATAGTTGTCAGCTTTTCTATTTCCCAAGAAATTAGTGACCACCAGACGGAAATCATTCCAAGCAGTTTTTTCAATACCTGTTAAAGTGTTTTCAAACTGTGTATCTTTCAAAATATTTCGAATCTGTGGCCCAACAAAAATACCTTCTTTAACCTTTGCCTCACTTAGTCTTGGAAATTTCTGACGCAGGTATTGAAAAGCTGACAAATCTCTATCTAATGCCTTGACAAAGTTTTTCATTAGGCCCAACGCGATATGCAGTGGTGGTAATAACATTTTTTTCGAATCTACTAATGGCATATGCTGTACATTTTTTTGACCTGGCTCTAGGAATTGACCAACAGGCCAGTTTTGTCTGGTGTAATGAAGTGCCTTTGCCCGACTGTCCCATTCACACAAAAAACAGCAAAACTTTGTGTAGCCTAGCTGCAGCCCAAGTAAAAGTGCAACAACTTTCAAATCGCCACAAATATGCCATTGGTGCTCATCGTATTTTATGCATGTCAATAGGTACTTCATATTGTCATATGATTCTTTCATGTGAACTGCATACCCTACAGGAAGAGATGGTAGAATATTTCCAATATGCAATAACACTGCCTTTAAATTCAATGTTGAACTGTCTATAAACAATCTCCATTCTTCTGGGTTATAGTTTATATTTAAAGCCGCCAGTAAGCCGTTAATGTTACTGCAGAAAACCAAGTTATTCTCCATATTGAAAAATGGTTCTAAGTCTTTGTGGCGTTTACGAAAAACACATAACGAAACATCGTCTTCTAACAAGTTCCACTGCTGCAGTCTTGATCAAAGTAACTCTGCCTTACATTTTGGAAGTTCTAAATCTCTTACAAGATCATTTAATTCTGACTGTGTTATTTTGTGCGGTTGGTGGCATGACGTGCTCGGTATAAAATCAGGATCTCTTGACGTTTATGGCATATCTTCCTCCTGATCGCCATGATCTGATTCGTTTTCTGATTCGCAAGTGTAGGATTCTGGGGGTTTTGGAATAGGATTTTCGTCACTGTGAGGCACAGGTCTCATTGCAGATGGTATGTTTGGGTAGTTAATAACCGATTTTTTTTTTCTTGGACATGCCTGTGGCTTGTCCAACACAAGGTACCATGCAAAAGTAACAATCATTAATATGATTTGTAGGCTCTCGCCAAACCATTGGGACAGCAATGCGCATAGACCGTTTTTTGCCATTTAACCAGCTCCTCAGTCTTGAAGCACATGTACGTATTACAGCAGATGTGGGGTGTGCCCACTGTTTGTCTTGATCACCTAGTTTACAACCGAAATAAAGCTGATTTGCCTTTGTTATTAGTGGAGTAATAGACCGTCTCTGAGACGCAAAAGTCACATCACCACACACGTAACAAAACTGATCTGGATTGTTTACACACTTTCGAGACATCTTGCATGAACGCTGTCAGCCAACTGAGGAAAAAATGGCTAATATAAAACAATATAATATAAATATATAATAATAATATAAAAATGTAGCACGTGCATTCTTGTGAATTACAGTATATTAACACTGTCACAGCAGGAACACATATAATTACCGTATCTCTAAAACTTGAACTAATATTGAAAAAATAAGTTCCATTCCGGTTTTAGCACATTAAAAATAGTAATATTTTGTTGATTTTATTTAGGATTTTTTTGGCTGTTGATCAGTGTAATATGAAAATATGAAGTTTTTTTTTTGGAAATATGAAGAAATATGAACTTTAAAATATGAAGAATGAAGAACATATGAAGTTTTTTTAACCAAATATTAGTGCAAATTGCAAATATATTTTTTTAGTAATAATCCCCTACCAAATGGCCGGTTAAGTCAAATTCAGCTTTTTTAAAAATAATTTTTTAACGAAAATACTACTACAGTACATTCTTCTTAAAATTTAGACATTTTGACACCATTCTACTAAAATCAGTCATATTTTTCCATGTAATAGCTAAACCAAGTACTTATTTGATAGCATCCAAAAATAATTCCTAAATTAAAATTTTTCCGATTTTTTGTTACTAAACTTGATTTTTCTGATACATGGGAGTAACAATACAACACTAAAATATGTAATTTTAAACTGTGTAGTCATCATTATAAACCCTATATAAACAAGGTTTACAATGATGACCACTTCCTGAAAAAAATGTTGCTAACACAGCCAAAAAATCGGCCGGAACAACGTAAAATTCCCTCAGTTGATCTTTGGGGATAAAAAATGAAAAATTTGAAGATTTTCAAAAAATATGAAAATTTATGAAACTTAAAAAAAATATGAAAAAATATCATTCTGTTCCGGACTCCGAGTTAGTTTATTCCGATATCAAACTGCATTTTTAACAGTCGTATACATAACAAAATTGTGTGCTACACAACAAATATTTATCACAAAATTGTTGTGCGCCTCTATATAAGAGACAAAAAAGTTATATTTTTATTTGTTTAATCTAAAGACATAATAAAATTTACTCGTTCGAGACGCCACTGGACTTATTAAATTTAAACAAGTTAGAACTAAATTAGCTCCTTAATGTGATAAATACCACCGCCAAATTACAAATTCGTTGAAGGATATTTAAAAAATTTACTAAAACCATTTTTTTTTTAATTATAACACCCTGTATCTTGAGAATGAAGAATTTGCAGACCTATATTTATATAAACTTTTTGTCTTAAAATTACTCAAAGAATCGTCTGTAAAATGTATGATACCATGTATAAAATTATCTCTCTGAGTCGATTGTGGTGTTGATGCACTTCTAAGGAGCCTCATCATATCCCCACATGTGCTCAATTGGGGATAAGTCTGGAG